CAGAGCTATGCTCAGGATATCTTTCCTATTTCGAATCTTATGCCTGGAAGGTTTGGGATCATTATTTTCTGGGTTAGGGACAAAGTCACCATTCTCCTGGTCAGCACTCGGATCAGCCATGGGGAAGTCATTAAACTCTGAATCAGCTTGACTCCAATCATCGGCCTTTTTTACCTCACCCTGGGCCTTCTCAAGTCTCTCTTTCCTCGGCAACTCTTCTCCTCTTCTGTCTCTCTGTGGCAGCCTCCTGTCTCTTGGACTCCGGAATATCTTGGCTAGAAATCATGAGAGCCCCTATACTGCCAGTCTTCTCTCTCTGTGCTTTGACAAATGCCAGTTCGATCACAGGAATCTTCAGTTCACGCTTGCAAATACAGGAGATGTGGGCCTCGGATTTACAGTCACGATCGCATCCAAACTCAGGACAGAGAACAATTGGGCACTTGCAAGTAATTATGTCAAATAACTGGTCCAGTTGCTTGGCAAAGCTGTCCTTAACTGCAAGTTTTCCTCTCCCAAGAGAGATATCTCTTGCCTTTTCCCAACTGGCTAGCAGTCTCTCACTAATCTTCTTCTGACTTGTTATGACTGGAGGCTTAAACTGAGCGTTAGCCAGAGTGTACTGTGCCAAGACAGCTTTGGTCATATCACTGGCAATGTCTTTGTTTGTGTAAGTTCTTTGGTTCTTTTCACTGATTTGCCTGATTAAAACACCGTATCTCAAAGCATCTCTCAATGTAGGCAACTCCGACTTCAGGAGCTCTCTCCCAAACCCAAGATAGTGACTGAGATGGCTGGATTTTTGGTTCCTCGTCCTGACACAAGCAGCCATCGCAAATATTATCAACTTATAAATGCATCAGAATCTGAAACAGAAAAAAATATTGTTAGTTGGGTTGTTAAAGAATGAAGTCAGAAAGCAATGTTCACTATTTAATTGTAATGCACTAATGCAGCTGTACGTTAGATTTTCGATAAATTTCACGCTAAAATTTACCTAGCAAAAGGTTGCAAAATATTGAAACTGAAATTATTTTCTGTTTATATACACTAAAATCTACCAAAAAAGTGATGGGCCATTAGTTTTAGCTGATCTTCCCTCCTATGACACACCCTACTACCCAGGGAAGGAAAATAATAACGTCGAGTATCAACAATATTACTGTGAAGGGAAATTAAGGATAAGTAATGAGGTTGTAACAGGGTTTATGCAATTCCTTGGAGGAAAACAGGAAACATCAGGCAGAGGAGATGTAACTTACCGGGGAGCTCAGACTGGGAGTAGAGGTGGACAGAGGGCCGATGTTTAGGGTTATTCGGCCAGATGTAAGCCCTTACTCGCACTACTATCTTAATACTACCTAAGAACCAAAGAAGATTAGGTAAGATGCAGTAAGATTATTAACGAAGCCTTAGATGGCGGTCACATGTGGGTCAGAAAGATTTACAGGAACATCAACTATCAGGGTTTTTATTGACTAGCGTGTGATGGACGTGTATACACTGGTCGTGTGAGTTGACAGGATATAAATGAACACGGTGACGAATTTTATTAATTATTTATTTAAATATCATCCTTCAGAGAACAGATGTAAATGTGTTCATATACACTCACACACGTATATTCTTTGGTAATAGTTACAATGTTTACTTCATGGTTCTCGTGTCCGTGTACCCAGAAGAGTGTATCACACAACTTTTGTCACTGTTGTATTTTCACCAGTTGTAATTTCATAATTCTTCAGTTCAAGGGACTACACAATACACAATTTTGTATATTGTTGATATTATACATATTATTACACAGTAGCGAGAAGATCAGTGTTACAGGGAGCTTCACGAGGTGAGACACAGAGCAATACAAAAATATTTACTTTACAAGTTCTTGGGCAACCTCAGACACTGTGTTATAGTTACCTGGGCTTTGCGTTCCTCACAGACTTTCTTCCTCCTTCCTCGTTTTTAAGGATCTTTAATTATTTGTCAAGGAAAATAGAATACAATAATTTTTACCGTGTTTACATTATCTCCTGTCTTCTACTGTTATTGTTCCTCTGTAAGATGTGAAGGGGAAGTTTGGTTGTTCGGTACAAAGCGCTACACTTTATTGTTGGTGCTGATAGTCCTTCACACACGATATCCTCCACTCCACCATTCCTGACAACATCCACTATATTACCCAGTACGTCCTCTACCTTTCTATCCCACTGTTTACACAATACTCTACATGAACTAACGCCCCTCTCCCACCCTCCCCACACACACACTACTCGTACAACTGGCCAAAAATATATTGATATGTCAACATCAAAGAAAAAAAAGTGAGCTAAGCAATTGGGGCACAAATAATGTTTGTGGTTATGTTCATCCCTGTTTGTTTATGACACAGTAGTAGTATTAGTAGTAGTAATACTAATAGTAGTTACAGTAATAACAGTATTAGTAGTTATAGTAGTAATATTAATAGTTATAGTAGCAATAGTAAAATAAGAACAATATGAAGGAGAAGGCTCTCTCTGCTCTCACTACCCCAACATATGAAGACACAGGTCCTTTATAGCGGCACCGTTACCTTACTTACTTTCCCTGGAGCTGACCATTACATTTCTTATCAGTCTGTGGAAGAATTTTATCTGAAAAATACACCAGTCATTAATCAAAGCAGTTACATTTTCGTGGAAGGATATTCAGATTTTTGATTCACTGAATGGTTAACTATATTTTTGTTTAGTATAAATATAATGCAATAATAAATGTGGTTGTGGCAGTAGTTGCTTTATGTTCCCTTGAAACTTTCCAATTTTCTTTTCTGGTCTGCTGCCTGTCACGTAATGCCTCCAGGAGAGTGTGGGAGTGTTGTTGAGGCCAGCAGGACTTATAACTCATCAGGGCTACCAACTTTTCTGGGCTCCAAAGGTAGCAAGGACGCGTGATTCTTTTTCTCAGAGAAAGACAATATTTTGCTGAAAAAGAAGTCAATACTTTTTAGCCTAGGATAATGTTTGTGGGGAGGTTTGTTCCCAAAGTTTTTTTTTTTTTTTTAGGAAAATTTCTTTCAAAATCCCATGTCAAAGTTAAAAAGCTTTTATGTTGTGCTGACAACATTGTTCAACGTCTTACTTTTTTTTTACAAAACTTCTTCAAGGTAGACAATATAAAATAATTTTGTTCAGGTCCAATCAACATTTGTTACATTATTTTAATAACTGCCCAAAACTTACTATTATAACTTTAAGTAATGCCTCTCAGTAAGCAACACTTACTATGAGTAGAGTAAAAGTAAATCACATAAATTCAGGAGGGAAGATTCCTCTTTTTCTTTTAACCGAATTTCAGAATATATTTCCAAAAGTCGATTAATATTGCCAACACCAATGAAAGATAAGACCTAACATGATGCACTTCTTACAATGTCAACAGACTGGTCTCCCTCATGTTGGTGCTGACGTACTGTAATCTGTGCCCCAACAGCCTCACACCACCATGTCTGGCTTATCAGTCACTAAGTTTTTGTCGTAAGTTCTCAGAATATTCTATAAATGTCTACATTACCTACATTATGTACGGTCGGTTACGACAAACTCCAGCACTCCATTAAGCCTCACTTCTGCCGGTATGTACCTGTCCGTTGAAGCACACGTCAATTTGTGGCTCAGTACAGATGTTGTTCAGTGATGAAGTTGTACATTATGAACAGCGTAAATGATTACACCGTTACTGCCAACTCACAACGTTTATCACTATATAAAACCACAGTCAACATCAGTGCACTGCTTTTCACCGCTAGCATCGCTCTATACAGTACATTACATGTCACTGTTATGAACCAGGATTACTTCTTACACTCACTTTTCACAAAATTTGACGAAGAATCACTGCTTACATTGCCAAGATCACTGTAAAGTATGATCACTAGAGTGTACGTTTGTCTGTACCTTATCCGTTACTGTACATAATACTTCACTTTACAGTTGGGTTATCATCATATTCCACACTACACTTCTCTACTGTCACCGACTACACTCTCTCTCTCTCTGTCCAGTCCACATCCGTAATAAATCAGTCTCTCACATAAACCAGTCTTAGCTCTGTAACACTGACTAATGAATAATGAGGATTTATGATCTAAAATTTTAAGAATTATCATCTAACATTATTTTTATCTCAGGTGAAATTATTTTACTCAAACTATAATATGTTATGTGTATCCTAAGATTCCATTCGTCATTTTGCCCTTTCAAGTAATTCTTTTACTCATTCTGCTTTTTTTTCCCTTTTCACCCTTTTGTTTGTGTAGTCTTAATCCTTTGCTTGTTGTTGTTCTTCTTCTTCAGCTTCTCCTTTGTTTTATTCAAACAGGTTTTTTTTTTCTTTTATCTTCTTGGAACTCCTTTCTGTCTCTCTTCACCCGTCGTCGTCATTTGTCTCGTACAAGCAGAGGGTCCTGCGTGTCACCTCTCTCTCTCTCTCTCTCTCTCTCTCTCTCTCTCTCTCTCTCTCTCTCTCTGCTCTGCTCTCCCGTTTTCTTTGGATCATTCACGAGATTTTTGGAATGATCCACTGGCCAGAATCACCACAGTTAACTTCCCCAACGACAACAGCAGCAACATATCTCCGCGTTCCTTGACTCAAATTAAAGTTACTCTTATTATGTAGCTAACTCGAGTTACAGTGTACCCGTGATTCTCCTTAACACTAGATACAATACTTCTTAACACCAATAGAATTGTTATCACTGTATTCCTTCTCCAAAGTAATACAGGTCACCCGAGACTCTTCTTTAACAGTCCATCACTCCACATTTCTCTGAGGTGTGGAGGAGGTTCACTGCCAGCTTTCATTTACAAAATTGAGGTGTAAATTTTGTCCCTCCATTGTCTCGCATCACCATTGTTCTTCACCGTTCTCTCACACTCATCCACCCCCTCATCTCATTTGGCCTTGACCCCCTTCACCTCTTATGTGTCTTATATCCCTCCCTCCCTCCCTCCCTCCCGCCCTTACACAATCACGGCGCCTCCTTGGTCAGACCATCTCTCCTTTTGGGGAAGTATGGTGGTGGTGGTGGTACTCCCGTTAGAGTTAAGAGGACTGCTGAAGAAGGTGGAGCTGAGGAGGTTTGTCGCTGAAGTGGTGGTATCGACGGTGCGTTGGCTGGGACTGTGTAGACGTTGATGTTGAGATTTGTGTTGGAGGTGAGGTTGATGGGTGTGGCTGCGGCGCTGGCGACGAAGGCGGTGAAGATTAGTCCCCACCAGCAGCAGGATGATGGCTGCGTAGAACACTACGATCACCTGTACATATATGTATTAGTTAGCTTCTAAACAGGTAAGTAGACGTGAGGGAATTACTTAAACTGGACTGGTATGAAGAGACAATAAAGTACAACCAATGAAAAATGTCCTGTCAGTCCTCCTACCTGAAGTTCATGAACCTGTGCATCCGAGACATCACACATTGTTTGGTCTCCAGATGACGCACTGGGACGTGTGATGTCTCGGATTCACAGGTTGACGAGTCACAGGGTCCATGGATAGCTCGGAGGATTGACAGAACTTATTTCCGTGACTGTACATCACCTGTGTGGGCTGGTGAGGAAGGTATTAGGACACACCAAAAGCAACTGACCAGGTTGAGGGCGATGACAGGAGGCAGGAACGTGGGCTTAAACTGGTAGAATAGAACAAAAAAGCTTGATTGGAAATGTATATGATAAAATAGCGTTTAGTTGGGGAAGTTTGTTTAACATAATGACAACACCTACCTAGTAGAATGCCATTACCTATGTGAACCACGGTAACGTCACAATCACTTGGCTATCTTCCATGTACTACCTGGTGTTGGCTACAAAATTCAAAATTTTGCAAGTATACAGATACAGTACTTATGTAATTCCTGTGACTGACCTAACCTACCTTAATCTAGCTTTTACGTCTGTGTGGGGGGGGGGCAGTACTGAAAAATCCTCCTTCAATCACCTATTTTCTATCGTGTGTACTTTACATTACAAGTACCGACCAAGAATAAGGTACTACAGTATAAATGTAATACAGTTACAGTATATGAATCGAATCTGTACCTTTTATAAAAGTTACTTTCTACTGGTGAGAATGGAGTATTATGTTCTTAAGTATATGCTACTCTGGCTTCATTATCATATTTATAAGGAAAAACTAATTCAATAAAATCTTAGAAACAAATCATTAAGAAAAAATATCACATCCATTACTTCCTTTAGTACACTCAGGTCATCCACTATTTATTCATCCATCACATCCACCAAAACACCCAGGTTATCCACCAACTCTGCACAATCGTGTTCAAGAATCATCCGCATAATACACATCGCTGGATGACACTCACCCACACTACTGCTACTCGGCTGATCTTAATTTTTTGTTAAGTAATATTCTAGACCTGGTTTAATTATACCTCATCAATTACACATTTACTGCAGCTTATACACGTATACTAAACCGCTTTACTTAAATCAGTAGAACTTACTCACTTTCGCTTCCTTATTTACTTCCACCACTACAGCTCATATACTCATCACGTTAAAACTAGATCATTTTTTCACTCGTCTCATTGATTCCATATAAGTGTATATTACATTTTCTTTATCATATACAGTATATACCTCAGACACCATAAACTGTATCTACCACATAATATACCCGGGTCACTATCACACACTCTACAGTATATACCTCTGACACCATAAACTGTATCTACCACATAATATACCTGGGTCACTATCACATACTCTATATACCTCTGACACCATAAACTGTATCTACCACATAATATACCCGGGTCACTATCACATACTCTATATACCTCTGACACCATAAACTATATCTACCACATAATATACCTGGGTCACTATCACACACTCTATATACCTCTGACACCATAAACTATATCTACCACATAATATACCCGGGTCACTATCACACACTCTATATACATCTGACACCATAAACTGTATCTACCACATAATATACCCGGGTCACTATCACATACAAATTGAAATGCCCATTACGTCAGCTGTCATGAAATAATATAATACATTTATGGCACGAGATAAACCTTTAAACCTTCCTATGTTGATAGTATTATAATGATTATGAAGCTGTAAGCTATATGTGGTGTGATAATATCTCTCTCTCTCTCTCTCTCTCTCTCTCTCTCTCTCTCTCCAAGCACCTCAGTAACATCGAGGCAAAGTCCACCACCTTACGTTTACGAGGTCCTAAATGAAGAATGATGACTGGTGGTTCGTGGGTGGAGGAGGAGGGTGGAGGTTGAGGGGAGGAGGGTGGAGGTTGAGAGGAGGCAGGAAGGTGGAGGATTTAGGGAGGGAAGAGGGTAGAGCATGTGGGGGGAAGAGGGTGGAGGTTGTATAAAGGTAGGAGGGTGGAGGTGGAGGGTGTGAGGAGGAAGGAAGGTGGAGTATGTAAGGGGAAAGAGGGTGGATGTTGTGGGAAGGGAAGAGGGTGGAGGTTGTATAGAGGTGGGAATATGGAGGGTGGAGATGAAGGTTGTGAGGAGGGAAGAAAGTGGATGTCTCTCTCTCTCTCTCTCACTCTCACTCACGGTAACATAGATGGCAGCGTCTGTAGCTATCTCCGGGGGCAGCGTAGGGTGGTAGGCGTCGCCCTTCGTCCCAGACACCATCATCCTCATGCTCTCTTCAAGATAGCTTCCTCCTGACCCTCTGCCTCCGCCGTCCTGAGTCACTTCAACACATCTGACCCAAAAACATCAACAACAAGAATTATATCAAATATCAGGTTAATAGTATGTGTAAAGCTCTCACATTCTCTCTTCCCGTAGTAGTTGTTGGACTATACATGTCAGGAACCTCTTTGGCCTGACAATAAATACATCGGTGTTAAGTGGAAGTTTTTGGACAAAGTAAAATTCTGTGAAATGTTTAGAAACACCATTTGTTCATTACAGTGTTTGGAGAGAACTATAACACGTGTGTAGTCAGGTGTGTCAGCGGGTTTTGTTTACAGGTAGATGGTCAATGTCTCGTTGTTTACTTCATCATAAATGTGTGAAAAGTTAATTTTGTTGTCTCTCACAGATCGAGGTAAAGAGTAGGTAGTTTTATACAGAATTTAAACAGCTTAAGAATAATAATATACACTATGTTGATGTTCTGGTTACAAATATGACAACAACACATTGTCTGTAGAGTTGGGGAGTGAGTTCAGGTGGGCAGCAGTGTGAATAAGTAACCATATAGGGAGTAGTAAGCATGTTACAGGGAAGGTGGCGGGTGTGACTCAGGGAAGATGGTGGGTGTGACTCAGGGAAGGTGGTGGGTGTGACTCAGGGAAGATGGTGGGTGTGACTCAGGGAAGGTGGTGGGTGTGACTCAGGGAAGGTGGTGGGTGTGACTCAGGGAAGATGGTGGGTGTGACTCAGGGAAGGTGGTGTGATTCAGGTGGTGGGTGACTCAGGGAAGGTGGTGGTGTGACTCAGGAAGATGGTGGGTGTGACTCAGAGAAGGTGGTGGGTGTGACTCAGGGAAGGTGGTGGGTGTGACTCAGGGTAGGTGGTGGGTGTGACTCAGGGGAAGGTGGTGGGTGTGACTCAGGGAGGTGGGTGTGACTCAGGACTCAGGGAAGGTGGTGACTCAGGGTGGGTGGTGGGTGTGACTCAAGGTGGTGGGTGTGACTCAGGGAAGGTGGTGGGTGTGACTCAGGGGAAGGTGGTGGGTGTGACTCAGGGTAGGTGGTGGGTGTGACTCGGGAAGGTGGTGGGTGTGACTCAGGGAAGGTGGTGGGTGTGACTCGGGGAAGGTGGTGGTGTGTCATGGAAGGTGGTGGTTGTGACTCAGGGAAGGTGGTGGGGGTGACTCAGGAAGGTGGTGGGGGTGACTCAGGAAGGTGGTGGGTGTGACTCAGGGAAGGTGGTGGGTGTAACTCAGGGAAGATGGTGGGTGTGACTCAGGGAAGGTGGTGGGTGTGACTCAGGGAAGGTGGTGGGTGTGACTCAGGGAAGGTGGAAGGTGTGACTCAGGGAAGGTGGTGGGTGTGATTCAGGGAAGGTGGTGGGTGTGACTCAGGGAAGGTGGTGGGTGTGATTCAGGGAAGGTGGTGGGTGTGACTCAGGGAAGGTGGTGGGTGTGACTCAGGGAAGGTGGAAGGTGTGACTCAGGGAAGGTGGTGGGTGTGACTCAGGGAAAGTTACCACCACCAGTTTACGAGTCATAACATAAAACACTAATGGCCGTGACCTGGCGTCCTCCATTACACAGCTTACTATCTTTATCGCTGCCTTTACTGTTGTTTGTTCTTCACCTTTATAACAGGGGGGTGGGAGGCGTGAGCTGTTTTATATATGTTGGCACAGACAAGGGCAATTATGGCCAATATACGGCAGCTTGGACAACGTGAAACACCTCTCAGCAGTAAGATAAATGCGGTGGAAGTAGCTTTAAATGATACCAGAATACACAGGCAAGTAATGACAAACAGGAGGAAGTGTGGCCATTAGAGATCCTTCAAACGAAATTCACAAGCCAGTAGTAAGTCTAGACAATACTTGACATCGTGAAGGAACAAGATTAAAGTGTTGGGTAGTGGTGTCATCTCTCAGTTCGGAAACAAAGAGCCACCTCGAGACAGTAATACAAATTTCAGTAGTGTATGAAGAAAATCAGGGAAATATATCTTTATTAAATTTAGGACAACGTGGAAGCAATAAAAACATGCAAGAACAGTATTATACAGTGTGAGTATAGAGGATAATTGAGAAAAATTTAGCCAACTAGGATATTTAAATATTGAAAGACCATTTGAAGACAGCATGGAAAGTTTTAGGTGTTGCCAGAGTGTATGTAACACCCCATTTCTTGTCTCAGCCTGGTGTCTCCCTCCGTATTTATAATCTTCCTAAAAATGTTTTAAGGTGTTCTTGGTTTTTTCACAAACAACTTCACATTTGGAAGTATTGAGACAGTGACTTGAGATTAACCCCGTCCTCCTTGATTCGAGTCATGTCTGTCAGGAAAGATGGTGAGGTGTTAGCTGCAGTGCTGCCATCTAAGAACCAAATGTTGAGATCTTTTTTTTTTTTTTTTTTTATTGGGCACTCCCCTACATCCTTGTGTAAGGTGAAGCGCAGAAGCGTTTACAGCGTCCAACAGGGAAGCATGCAATGTTGAGATCATTTCCTGAGCCACACTATACTAAAGATGGGGTCGATGGGGTCATCAACCTGAAGAGCTAGCCACTTGTTCTCCGGAATAATGTTTAAGAGTTTTTACTGTAGCAAGATGGGATGAAGGACAGGAGACAGGAAAATATTCCCGAGCTGTACATGTATTTAAAACCGTCATTCCTTATTACAAAGGTAGACCGACCATGACCTGTTTCCTCTGTGAAACAGATGGTATAGGCCATTGCTGCCGCTACAAAGCCCTCCAGTACTCCTGGAGGTCATTAACTCTGTATTTCCTTGTGGTCCTTCATACAGTCTTTAGTGTTATTATGTTTATGGGTTCACCATCAACACTGGGGACCTGTTCCTTGTCATGTTCTCTGTATATCTTTTCTCACACCTTCCCCTCACCTCTGCTGGTTAATCGAGATTGTTTGTGTTATTGTGAAAGGAGAGAGAGGGTGAGAGACAGACAGCCAAACGGGCCAGACGGACAGACATGCAGACAAAGGGGAAGGAATTGATTGGGAGAGAGAGCAAAGCAAGGTGTAGCCTCACTCCCTCACAGTGTCACTGGGTGGAGCAGCAAGTGTCCAGTGACGCAGTAAACATACTAAGTAGGTGGTGAAAGTGTCGCCACAGCTCACGAGTTGTTTTTGTTGCGAACATTACATTTATTACGACTAATGCAATTAAATGTATACCATCTGTGACCCTGTTGCTGCAGCTGTTGTGAACTGCTGCAGCTGTTGCAAGCTGCTCTTGTGAGCAGCTGTTGCGAGCTGCTGTAGCTGTTGTAAGGTGCTGCAGCTGTTGTAAGTTGCTGTAGCTGTTGCGAGATGCTACAGCTGTTGCGAACTGCTGAAACTGATGTGAGCTGCTGCACCTATTGTGGGCTCCTGCAGCTGTTGTGAGCTGCTGCAGCTGTTGTGAGCCATTGCAGCTGTTGTGAGCTGCTGCTGCTATTGTGAGCTGCTGCAGCTGATGTGAGCTGCTGCAGTGTCGTGAGCTGCTGCAGTGTTGTGAGCTGCTGCATTGTTGTGAGCTGCTGCTGCTATGGTAAGCTGCTGCAGCTGATGTGATCTGCTGCAGTGTTGTGAGCTGCTGCAGCTGTTGTGAGCTGCTGCAGTGTTGTGAGCTGCTGCATTGTTTTGACCTGATGCACTGTTCTGAGCTGCTGCGCTGCACTGCTGTGAATTCTGCAGCTGTTTTGAGCTGCTGCAGCTGTTTCAATCTGATGCATTGTTGTGAACTATTGCAGCTGTTATGAGCTGTTGCTGCTGTTGTGAGCTGCTGCAGCTGTTGTGAGCTGCTGCAATATTGCAAGCTGCTGCAGTGTTATGAACTGCTGTGGCTGTTGTGAACTGCTGCTGCTGTTGTGAGCTGCTGCAACTGTTGTGAACTACTGCACTATTATGAGCTACTGCAACTGTTGTGAGCTGCTGCAGCTGTTGTGAGTTGTTGCACTATTATGAGCTACTGCAACTGTTGTGAGCTGTTGCTGCTGTTGTGAGCTGCTGCAGCTGTTGTGAGCTGCTGTAGCTGTTGTGAGCTGTAGCTGCTGTTATGAGCTGCTGCACTATTGTGATTTGCTGCAACTGTTGTGAGCTGCTGCAGCTGTTGAGAGCTTCTGCAGCTGTTGTGAGCTGCTGTAGCTGTTGTGAGCAGCTGCACTCTTGTGAGCTACTGCAGTTGTTGTGAGCTACTCCTGCTGTTGTGAGCTGCTGCAGCTGTTGTGAGCTGCTGCACTAACCTAACCTAACTAACATAATCCTGACAGCTCTGTCCTCTTGTTCAACCTTATTACTGTACAACCCATGTTGTACTGCTCCCCCATTATACTTATGTTTTTCAATTCCACTGTAATTTATGTGTATATATATATATATATATATATATATATATATATATATATATATATATATATATATATATATATATATATATATAATTCACATAAGTATGTAGCTCACTTTCCAGACTGTACTCACCCCTGAAGATGTGAATAACACGAAAGCGCTTGGGAACTTTGTGTTTTCTTCTTTCCTTGTGGTTATCAGCATATACCTGGATCACGCGCAACTACAGTGATTCACTTGCATATATATATATATATATATATATATATATATATATATATATATATATATATATATATATATATATATATATATATATATATATATATATAAAATTAATTAATATTGAAGTGATAACCGTGGTAACATTATGAGACGTTCTCATTACCACCATGCTATTGTACTATTCCAGATGATACTGAATGTTACATAATACTTCCTTGAGATAAATATATAGTATATATTAGGTGCCTAAAAGAGAGCTTAGGTTCTCAACTGGCTCAGCCATGATAATATTTGTTATTATTATCCACTCTGTATCTGTGTTTTTTTGGCTGAATAAACTGTTTCAATTCAATTCAATTCAACTTTGTTCTGCAGTGCCCGACGCTATTATTAATAAATAACTAATCTTTAAAGAGTCTTACTGTTGCACTTAGCCAATGTTTATATTTTATGACGACATAAATTAGTAATCAAGTGTATTTTCAGCGCC